CTCACTACTTTCATAAAACATGCTTCAAACTTTCACCAGATTCGTAAAAAAACCTTCCAACACAACCCGTTCTGCCGACCTCCGCCAACCGCTAAGATAACTGCGATTTTGTGACATTTGTGATTGTGAAAGGTGAGGTATATTTTGGGGTTGAGCCAAAATGCGACCACCCCCCTCCCCCTTCCCGCAATCGCAAATGCGACTCCCTCGTTCGAATAGAGAACGTAGGGTTGAACCTCTTTGGGTGTCAAAGCTATGGGTCGACGAAACAGCAAACGCTAAAATGTCTGTTTGAGGTGCCGTTGTGCTTCGCGGCAGCGCACAATCACATCGAATGCCTGCGGTTCCTTCTGAAGCAGAAACACGACACCCATCAGCTCATGGAGGATCGCCGATTCGTTTTCGACTTGATGGTCAAGTTCCTCGTTTCTCTGTCCCGGCTCGCAACTGATGACAGTCTTTTTTCAGGTTTGCGGCAAAGGCAACGACAACGAACCACTGCAGGAGTTCATTCTCCAAAGTCCAGCTCCGATAGATACCGCTGTGAAACTGTCAGCCCTCTACAGGTGAGTTCCAAACATCCTCACAACTTTCAGAAGAGATCCTTTTCGAACTCTGTTGGCAGGGATCTTACGAGAAAGAGAAGGAGCGAGCAAAGACCTTTCCAATGTGGCCGTGTTTTCTGAGAACATGGCTGTGGAGCTTCTCAGTATAACTGCCACTGAATACAATGCAGCCATTCTACTCAAAGCCAAAGACAATCGAGGACGACCTCTGCTCGATGTTCTCATTGAAAACGAGCAGGTTTGTGGGAATAATAGAAAGGAAATAACAGGAAGTATTTTACAAACCAATGGAAGGGACTCAACCCGGTAAGATGGCAGAGCAGCACTCAGTCTGCTCTAATGCCAATTGCCCAAGGATTTTTTGACTTACGAACTGTTTCAATTTATTTATATAATGTATGGGTTTTTGTGCTCGATGACATAAACGTCTACGAAGAGTAAGTATTCACCTAGTGAGCAGCTAGGACTAAATCTAATAAGGGGGAGGAAGTCTCCCGGGGAAAACGAAGATGCGGGCCTATGAGCCTCCTCCCTCTTCTGAGGCTTAGTCTTAAACGTTTACAATAAAGGAGTATGCATTCCGTGGTTTTAAACGCGTTGACTGCTCCAAACCTCAAATGCCCCCTCCCTCCTTGCTGGATGAGAAATGCTAATTGTAAGGAATTCTAGAAAGTAAAGCGCGCAGTACATGTAGCCTTTGAATACGACAGCCAGGTGCGTCTGCAGTGCAGATCAAACAACAGAAGTGTCGACTCTTTCTACAAAAATCTCACAAGTGACGGTTCATAGTGACCGTTTATAGCTGATAACTAATTGAAGTAATCAATGCTAATTGACAGCTTAGGACTTGATCGGCTCGTCATTTCACTAGCAAAAACAAACCTCTTGGAGATAGTCGTCGTTTGTGTTGTTTGGACTGTAGTGCACCTAGCTGTTGGATAGAAAGGATACCTCCTCGACATAATGTCGCTATCTTTGCTTTGCATAGTCACAGAAAAACCTTTCGTTTTCCAGAAAGAAGTCGTCTCATATGCTTCAGTGCAGCGATATCTGACGGAGATCTGGACGGCACGAGTCGACTGGTCTTTTGGTACGTTTCCAGGTTTCGTCATATTAGCGTGGATCACACAGCCTTTTGATCCTTTCATAAAAATAAAAAAAATCCTAAGAGAGATCATTCTCTGGTAAGCGGTGTGCTACTCTGAATATCTCTGTTATGACATCAGGCCGATGTCAGACTTTGCGAATCGAGCGATTCGCTAGAGTCCGCGGTCGCGTCAGCGGCCAGCGAATCGCTCTATTGGCTGGTGCAACTCGACCGCGGACGCTAGCGAACCGCTAGAAGCGAAAACTTCCACTGGATTTGTTGGAAGACGCATGGCAGAACAACATGAATGCCTCGCGCACGCGTACCTTAGAACTGCCATTGAGGGCCGGTTGCAGCAACGCTCGGCCGGGGATGGGTCCCATCGTCGACCTAGGATCACTCCCCGGCCGCGCATATGTCTCTGGCCCTCACACCATGGCGAATGCGACCCACCGAAGAGGTTTACTCTACTGTGGCACTTCTTGGTTCCATTCTGTTTTGAGCGTTTCTTCTTGAATTCATCAGATGATCGGCGCGTACAATACAATACAGCTTTTCATATTCTCAGCTCTTGTTTCAGGAAAAACAGTTGCATTTTCTCTGTTCGTACTGATCTGTCCACCGGCTTGGTTTTACTTTTCTCTTCCCTTAGATAGTCGCATAGGTAAGTCATTGTTGTCGTGTGTTTGTCATGCGCGTTCGATTCGAGCTTTTCAGGTCGAGCTCCAATCATCAAGTTCGTCTGCCATATCGTTTCTCACGTGTATTTCACAATCCTTTTGACGGTAGTCGTGCTCAACATCACCCATAAAATGTGAGAATTCACCTCGAATTTCGCGATACTGTCGATGAGATGAACGTTCAGGTACGAGGTTACGTCCGTGATTCCGAATCCCGTGGAATGGCTGCTCTTGTTATGGCTGAGCGGTAATTTGGTGTCAGAACTGTCAAATGTTGGCGGTGGATCTGGCCTTGGAATAGTCAAGGTAAGCGTGAGAGGGAAAAGATGGGTTGATAGAACTTCTGCGGAGTAACTCCAATTTAGTGCTCGCTCTATCAAGAGTGAGCTTCTGCTTAATTCGCTACTGATATACTGAATGTGGCCGTACACTCCAGCGGTGGAATTGGAGGCCTTTGGAAACGAAGTGAAGGTTGGAACGTTGGCCGTAATAAAGGTTCCATCTAGTTTTGGAAGGGCCCCCTCCAAGATGACCCCCTACCCCTTTCCCCCTCTCCGACCACCACCATACTGTTTCTATGGTATGTGGTTCTGAGAACAGCCCACATAGCCTAATTCCACCCCACATTTTCCCCCAAAACGACACCGTCGAGCGACGAGGTAGGAGGGGGGGATAAATCAGTGTCATAAGGTAATTCCACGAATATTGCCTAATTCTCACTGCTTTTTCGAAACTTTCACCAAATTAGTTTGTTAAAAGCGTTTAAGCACAACCCCTTTAACGACCTCTGTCCCTCTCACCATAAACTTGCTCATCCCCAACTCCCAATGCGACTCGCTTTCCGAAACACAATCGTTCACTGGCTCGAACGGATGGTGACATGCGAACGACCGGTTAACCCGGGTCAAATGAGAGAGCTGGATTCTGCCTTCTGTTTGTGTTCGTACTTTCATAGTGAATCCCCATGTCACGCATCAACAACAGTGCTTTCAAAAGATTTGTGTCGCCCGCTTCAGAGGAGGAATCCCCACGATAAGGGGACGGAGGTCGAAAAGGAGAAACCTACTTCAGGAAAGGACTAGCCGACCCTTCAAGGCAACAAACCGACATTAATTCGCATGCAGGATATAAAATGAGGATGATCTGGCATAGCCGCCCGCGCTGCTATGCCACCAACGCCAACTCCGCGCCCTTGCTTTTAGCCGCCTAGCCAAGTCGACGTTAGGGATGCGAGCAGCAAGCACCGAGAGACACACTAACGCGAATATCTACGGGTCAAAAGTGGTTATGCACGCTCGGGTTCTAGTGCTTTTTCCTTGGTTTTTTCTCATACCTGCATCACTGCCCCCACACTAAACTTTTAGTGTCTCTCCTTATCATCGTGACGTGAACAAAGTAGGGGTCCGCTCGGAGATTGACCTAAAAAAGGTAGTTCTATAACGATCTCGTTTATTTCCATACGCTTCTAGTTTATTTCCTTGATCTCTCGTCTCCGACTCTTTCATCTCTCCTCGTGGTCCAGTAGTGGCCTCAGTGTCTGTCTCTTACCATTGGAGACCTTCAGAGCCTAAAGAAAAGAAGTCCTTTCTCTCAGTGCGTCGGTGGACTATTTCCCATTTTCCTTCACTATCGGTCCACAATCTGTACATTCATTTTCGAGCCAAATGACCGTACCAACTTGATCGTGTGGTGTGCCTTTAACCAAGTAGCGAACTTATGCTTGATGTCGCGTTGCCGGCCTCAGGAAGGAGAGTGGGAATTAATCCAATAATTAGAGTGGGTTGAGGATTCCCCTGATTACTCGTCCGAATGTCCATACTCGCATTGTTTCAGGTCCTAATACTGGTACTGTCAGCGGCAGCCATAGCCGTACATGTGCTTGCATTTCTTCTTCCCGCAGTGGTCATGACCCATCTTGACAACGACGAAAAGCTCCATTTCGCCAGAACTATGCTGTACCTCAAGGTATTGTTCTTTACTACCCAGCTTTTTTCCGCCTATTGACCCCTTGACTTACAACGCTTATTTCAGAATCAGCTATTTGCCTTTGCTCTTCTTTTCGCTTTCGTTGAATACCTCGATTTTCTTACCGTCCACCACCTGTTTGGCCCATGGGCTATCATTATCAGGTAGTTTTGCTGGTTCAGTGAGGTAGATCGCTCAACGTAAAGTTTTGTAGGGACCTTATGTACGACTTGGCTCGTTTTCTTGTTATATTGCTCTTATTCGTTGCGGGATTCACACTACATGTAACTTCAATTTTTCAGGTAAATTTTTTTCGAACTCTAGATCTTAAGTTATTGTCTAAAGTCATTGCACAAATTATGAAATAAGTATTATTAGAATTATTACTAGATTTAATAAATCACAATATTTCAATTTAAATTAAATTCAAAATTCCAATCAATAAATTTTTGAGCAGATGACAATATTCGGGTTGTTCTAAGCTTATTTCTTTATAGCCTGCTTACCAGCCACTCGACGAGGACAGCGCAGAGCTAATGCGCCTTGCATCTCCTGAGCAAACGCTTGAGATGCTTTTCTTCTCACTATTTGGGTCAGTGAAATATCTCTACTATATATAAAGCGCTATGTTCGTCTATATGTGTGGGTCATGAAATTCGCTACTACCTGGAGAACCACCTGCAAACCCGGGTCAGGTTTGGGGATAAGTGGGGCATGGAGAAAGAAACACGAAACCCATGACAGCTTGTTTCGTGGATGGACAGGCTCAGCCTGGAGCTACTTCGTCTTCTCAAAGTTGGTGTCAGAGTCCGCGATCCGTCGCAGGTTTCGCGCGATTCGCGCGACGGGTCACAGAAATCACAAGTGCCCGATCAATACTGCAAGGTGCTCTCCAATCCCGCCGCCATTTCTGCTTGATGGTGATGGCTGAATGACGACTGTTCATGATTCTACTTGTTTCATATTCAGTGTTTCAAATGTTCAAATGGGGCACTTGCGATTTTTGCGATTCGCGCGAATCGCGCGAAATCTGCGACGGATCGCGGACTCTGACACCAGCCTAAAGTTGCATAGTTATTACGATACTAAAATTGAAAAGGTGTTATTTCAGACTTGTCGAGCCGGATAGCATGCCTCCTCTTCATTTGGTGCCTGATTTTGCAAAAATTATTCTCAAACTTCTATTTGGTATTTACATGATGGTTACGCTTATTGTGAGTTAATTTTTTATGGTTCTATAACCCACACCCGGCAGTAAGCCAGCACCCCGATAAAACGCACGAAGAAAATTTCAAACGGCAAAAGCTCAACACTCCACGCCCCATGATTTCGAGAATGGCTTCGTTATCTGTACTGACCATCGAAAACACCGCTTTATAAAAGCAGTTTTCTGGGAAATTCAATATCAGATTTTCCACTGGAACTGGGTGTCGTAGTTTGCGAGCAGCATTCCAGTAAATATTTTGTTGTGCCCCCGGGGAGCTGTTCAGAAGGTTGAAAATATAAGATTCAAAGTAAGTTAATGGCATCGAAGAGATGGAACAGCAGAAACATTCGTTACTATTTACCTAGCAATCTGTTGTCTAAATTGCGAGGTAAAGGAACAGCTAAGTTTTGTCTTAAATCGCTCGCTTATGCCATATATTCCCAGTAAGTTATTAAAACACCTTCAAAGAAAATTAGAAGCAGGTCGGGCTCGATTTGGCTTGTTATGGCGCTTGAAACAGAGTGTAGCGATGCGATGTGGAACGACAGTGAAGAGAAAACGGAAAGGAACCATTTCAACAGTAGCTAAGAGGGCGGGCATAGCAGAAAGGCTTGCGCGGGAGTTTTCGGGATAACTAGTCCCTGAGTAGGCTTTCGACGCAGCAAGTATGATAAGATACAGCTATTTCAGCGCTCTATGCGCAGCACGAACAGAACGGGCCGTCCGCCCGCGTGGCGGCTCCAATAGCTAAGGGCCGCTAGGCGGCGATAGCTAAATTTAGCAGGGGCCTTACTACCGCGCTTTTCCGAACTACGAACATAGTGCCACCTCTGTGGGTGATACGTACGTATTGAAGGGGATGCTTTGATCTCTTAATCCCGGCCTTTGCTTTTAACGGAAGGGAAGCAGGTGTGAAAGAGCTCACCGAAGTTCTCTAAACTTTCGATGATTCCTGCATCGCGCATTTTACGAGATACGAGATACTGTATCATTGCCTGAACAAAGAGAAAAATTTTGACATGAGCATTCACCTCTATAACAGTTGTTCAGGTGCTCATTAACTTGTTGATTGCTATGATGTCAGATACATATCAAAGAATTCACAGGGCTCAATCGACAGAGTTAGGGTTGAAAGGTGGTCCGAAGAGAATCACCAGCATGTCCGCCATAACTGTGCGTCTGTTAAGGGTAGAGGATTTAAGGTACACGTAGCAATTCTCATATCGACAATGAATAAAAGATAAGCGCCCTCCTTCGCCATCAAATATGCTCACTGCAAACTTTGCGTGTTCTTAAATAGCGTTCGAGAACTGCGCTGTAAGTCGAGCTGACGATTTCAAGCAATAGTTTAGGAATATAAAGACCATTCCACGCTGGAAGTTAAGAAGAGGCCTCTCTTATTAGTAAGCAGCATCGCACCAGCTGACCCTCCTACTTAAAGCAACATATCCCAATATCCCCAGAGAATTCGTGTCGAGGATTCTATTCAGGGAGTGAGATTCAGAGTAGCCACGAGTATCACCGCTGTGGGACATTGTTAGCGCTGCAACGATGAGGCAGAAAGGCGCTAGAGTATTACAAAGTTAAACTATGGCGATTACCTCAACGTATGGACGAGTTGCGTCGCGCGCACCCCATGACACACATCGTGGATTACGGTGTAGCGGCTAATTCGAATGCGCGCGGGTTGGTTGAGCCACGGAACAGGCAAGGGTTCTTACGATTCGACTGACTCCGCCCTTCCTTATTTCAAGAGGAATCCTCGATCAGGGCTCGACGTTTTCTTTGCTTCACTTTCTCATTTATAGTCAACTCGCCGTCCACAACTCCACTAACGACCGCTGTGAATCAACAAACTTGATCTGGGGGTGTTGCTTGAAGTTGTTCAGCGTGGAATGGGCTTCTTAGCTGGTCCTACTTTTTCATCCACCATTTTTTTGAGTAGTTCGCCTTTCAAATTTCAGTGAGAGTATGTACCCAAAAAGCTCAACAGGACTTACGGTTTGAAGAGAATATCGACGCATTCTCAATGGGCGGCGGTCATCAGGGCAGAACAAGCCCCACCATGAGGGAAGATGGAACAGGTACGTAAGGACGTCTACGTACATATTATACTTAGAGAGGCCTGCAATGTTAACAAAAAGTAAATTATTAATTCAATTTTAAACCGAACCAAAATCGATTCCGTAGCACTTCCTCGGAAACGACAGCAGTACTGGCGAAAGGGCTCAGTTGTCAGTGCAAAATAGATCGGACTTCTACACTCAGAGTCAACTGTCTGAATGTACCAGTTCAAAATTTTTACGACCTCTACACCGCAAAACCATTTACAAAAGTCGGGGGTGCCGTTGAAACCGCCTTCACTTGATGACCCGATATACTGAAATTTCCCGAATTGGCGTCAAACGCGGAAAGGGGTTTACAGCTTATCCATCACGACCTCCTCTATCACCCCAAATGTGATCCTCTCATCTGGAATCCGGGAATACGCCCCCTCCCCCCCTTTGCTGGGAACCCTACAACGAACCGTGCTTCCATTTTAAAGCATACAGCCATTTGTAGTCTTCGACACTATACGTGACAACTATAGTCGAAAGCAGCATCCTAAACCCGTAATCTATGAAGCTTAACTTATCGTCAACGTTTGAAAAAACCAAAAGTGCAAGAACCAGTAAGAAGTCGAGCGCGGCGCATTTATCGCATAGCACAAAAGTGTTCTGGTTAAATTCATATATAGCCTTCTAAATTCGTTTTTTACCATCATTTATCAACTTGCGCCTAGGGAGACTCATCTTCTGCCTATATGCGTGAAATGGTACTATTGAGTTACTCTCTCACCATCAGATCATACTAGTTGTATAAATGGATCATTTCTGACTTACCTGATGCGAAACGCTAATACTCACCCTAATGCCAACAATCAAAACGGCCAACAGCTTACATTTCAATTGGCTTCCAATTTTGCTTGTTTCCTTCATCCTGGGATCATCAACAGGGCTACTTATGCGTTTCGATTTCTAATTTTCGTATAATAAGCCTTTATCATGGAATCCTTTGAGTTAATTCTCAAATTTCAATATGGGAGCGGCAGCTGCAGAGCTGGGGCAAGTACCGAATTTGAGTATTTTGATCTAGTTACTCGACTCGGAAGAGGATTGTTTTTATATATCAATCGCTAGTACCAGATGAATGGCAAGACAACGAACGAAGAGCAAGAACAACCGCACTAGACGCTTCCTTGGATGGAGAAACTATAAAGATATATGTATTCAGAAATAAATGGAGTTTACCGCCTTTCCCAATCACAGCTTCTTAGGTCCTTCAGAATGTTGAGCGCTTTTTCAAAACGTTTATCTGCATGCTGTAGAAGCTTTCACGTGGACTACTGAATGCGAGCTTCAATCTTGCTGGGCGTCCAACGGCTGAAGGCAAAACGAGGCTGAGAACTTCGCTTCGGAGTGGAGATAGCATGGCGTTTGACGTGAAGTAAACAACTTCCTAGCAAAGAGCATCCCTGCCCGATCATGAATACACCTATTATTGGCGCTGGCCTATTTGAGGGAAAGTAGAGAAACTCACGACCTGAAGTGCAAAAATTTTTGCACATGAATATAACTGACTACTTCACTTTTCGGACGTTGGGGCCGCATACTATAAAGTCGCCTTCAGTAGTGCCCTGCTTTCGAAAACAAATCTTTTGTATAGGCACAGCATTTATCACGAACTGCCTTTTTCTTGACGCACCCTTCACCCTCTGACTGCCAAAATAGGTCAAGAAGCTTACTCTGTTGAACGATTGTGTAATTCATTATTGGCTACTGATGTCCTTTGTGTTAATAATACCATCATACTAGCGCCAGCAACGAAACTCGAAAATGCACTTGGTCTCCAGATGGCTGATCGAACCGTGAACCAACACTCGTCCCTTTTTGGCGTTCAGTGGACCGCTCAGGGAAAATAAAGCATAGTTCTATGTTCAATGCGCGTATCTCTACATAATGCTAGAAACCGTTTTGTAAAAGCTGGGCATAACCTAAAAGTCTTTCCTGTTCAGTGAATATGGACCTCAGTTTTAGAGTCCACGCCGTAAAACCGTTCGGAAAAGTGCTCCACACCCTGAAAGACCTCCCTTATCAGAGGCGGAGCAACTGATGTCGAGTTCAAATTTCCACCTCCCACTTGTAGAGACGTTTTGTATACAAGCACATTCACATATTACAACAATAAGAGAACGTATTTACTTCTGAAAGAAAAGGTAACTGCCAAGTTCATTACCGAAAGCGTAATAAAATGGCCAATGATGTATCTACACGTTAACTAGAAAGGCGGAGGTCCATTGATAAATTCGAGAGATGGATCAAAGCTTCTTGCGAAATTGTTCAATAGTTGACAGCAGTACTCATCATCGCAGTGTGGAACTAGACAAGCTGCTCCCAACAGCAGAACCAGCATTGCCTAAAAAATGTGTTCATATTCATCTGAATGTTAGGATTCTTTACAAATTACAACGCACCTGAAGAGGTAGTGCTGTACGTAAAACCCGTCTCCATCGCGACCTCTGACGATGGAATTGTGATGGGGCCACAAGGCCCGTGCTTGTCTCTGGTAGGGGAGAGAGTAATCCGGAAGACGATCCACCGATCGATTCCAATTCACTCTTTGAATCCGTATCATCCGATCCGATACCTTCAAATCCGTGTTCTGCTAGTACACTGTAAGGATGCGCTTCCGGATAAAGTGCGGCAAGTACGTCAGCAGCTGCATCGACGTCGTATTCCTCCGCAGCTGCTTCATAGGTGGATGGTGGGGCTCGGCGAAGTGTTTCGAGAAGCTCTTGAGCACGTTGCATCAGCAGATCTAAGCTTATCGATGTATTGCTCTCTATGAATTGTCGACCTTGTGCACTGCGCTCGACAATCACTTTCTGGTTCTCCAAATGTGCAATAATGTCCTGGAGTAGCGATTCGTGACTCTGTAAAAGAATGCTATTAATTCGAACCATTTCAGATGAAAAAAGCTTTGAAATACTACCACGCTGCGTCAAAGATAGGCGTCTTGGCAGGCACCCTCACGCCCTACCATATGCTTGGCTTATTAGACAAGTTAAAATGAGCGATTACGATGAAGTGTGTGTGCAGCATGGAAATACATGCAAAAATCGGGGTAAGCTTTGGCCTGGGATCCAAGGAAGCGCTTGTGGCCTACTTGTGGGGAAACGTGCGCTAACTGCAGCGCACTAGTATTCCAAACCTTTTCTGGTGCTTGACGCGATGTGGGGCCACCAGAGCTGATACGTAAAAAAGAACTCTTTCTTGGCCTCCCGTCGTCCATGGTCCAAACTAAGGCGCAATCCATTTGGTAGTCTTCTTTCACTCTATACACGTCGAGATTCTATCGCAATTGCTGCCTTTAAGCTTCACGGGGCTGACTTGGCTCCCATGCCATTATTCCCATTGCCATTATTATTATTAGAAAAGAAGAGAGGTAGATCTGAACTGAAAGAGCCACAAAACCAATAGCTGCAATCAAAAGCAGGTAATACTATAAAATGGATATCGAATAGGAAAATTCTGCTACTGCAAAGATTCTGGGCATCTAGGAGAATAAAACGTTCCCCTTTAGCAGAGAAGCGTGCGCCTGTAACGGCGTAATATGGTTCTAGCTCTCCCTCTGAACGTCTTACGGTTAGTGCCCCTACCCGTTTTCCGATGATTTCGGCTGCCGCATCGGTAGCTGGCTCCCTGCCGTTAGCTCTAGCCTGTTTGTCTAAGAGACAGGAGAACGACAACAATAATCTCGTTTTGTACACCTGGAAATCGGAAGAAAAGGTTCTCATTTTACGGGTTGAACCGTTTCCATTGACGCGTTTTTTTCGCCGAGTGTGAAGGCGGGTTAGAATACAAAGAGATACTCGGTAAAGAATAAATCGAACATAGCATAACTATTGGACTGGGGAAACCGACTCTAGAAAAGGAGGGAATGCAATTACTGAATCTCGGAAATCCCAATGGGCAAGAGTTGCACTGAATCGAATCATCACCTACCTTCTGTTAGTCAACCCCGCTTTCGATAACAAGTTTATGTCCAAGTTTGTAAAGAGGAACACTATGGCGTATCTCCACAAGAAAAAAAAACCAACCAGACGGTCTTTTAGTCCAGTGGCGGATGTCAGCTCCTCGCTGCATTGAGTAAGTTCAGTAGTGAGAATCTCAAGGGTGCGGTTTAGTTGTGCTTCGGCAGTGAGCTCTGTTGCAACCCTTTCCATAATTTCCTGAAGAAGAAAAATAAGACTGAGACAAAAACGGAGCGCAATGATCATGTCGATGAGTATTAGAAAGGTGCACATCAGTCACCTCATAATGTTTCTCTGTATTTTCTTGATCGACAGTGAAGAAGCGTATTTCTTGCTGCGGCTGCAAAAGAGGCCGCAAAAGAAGCGCTAGCTCATTCATCTGCTTCTCTGCAGTACGAAGCCGCTCGATGTCACCGTACATTTCCTGCAAAGGTTGGAAGTTATTAACGATTTATAGTTACAAGCAATAAAGATGCCAGAATATTTATATTACTTTCAAGTAGTTTAGGAGATCCTCTCCTTCTGACGTAGATAGGAGTGCGGCTCCCGGTTGTAATCGTGGAAGATTTGCATCTACCGACTCCAGTATTTTCGTGGCATCGTCTCGAACTTTCACGAATACATTCCAGATGTTCGCACGCTCATGTAAAACAGGAATTACTCTCTCAGCAGATGAGAGTGCAACTTCGAGGAATTCCACAGAAGGATGAGCCGCAGGTGCGTTTCTCAGAAGTTCACCAGCTTTTCTACATTCATTAATAAGCTCATCAGCAGTTGGTCTATATTGTGCTGGTACTCCTTCGGCATCTCCTAACAAGCGATCAGCATCATTGACAAGTTGAACAAGGCGAACAGATACTGGTGTGATAGCATTTCTCAGTTCTTCATCGGCTGCACGTCGAGCCATTTCTATTTCCATGTCACTTCGACGTTGCTGAAAACACCACAAAGATTACATACATCAGCGCTTTGTCCAGAATATTAATCCCAAACGATATTAGAATATATAGGTCTTTAACAAATTTCAACTGGTACTCATTCATGTCACACACATACACACACATCCACGGATCCGATTTCTGCGACGCACACATTCTTCCTATTCTTCCATAGTGATAGCACCATTTAATTTGGAAAAAGGACCAATTGCCGAAAGCTGATGAACATTACATGAGCACTATTTCTGTGATTTCAATGTATTGGTGCACCTTTGGACACGAAAAGCTCATATGGTTGAGATATTACCACAACATGACGAAGCTAGATAAATTTCATGGCCTCTTTTGGTTTCACCGGTCGTTACTTTTCAGAACTCTTATAGAGAAAAAGTTACACTGTTATTTCCAACCACAACCACTAAGAGTCCTACCATCAAGAGTAATGAAGGACATGTTAGTTGCTACATTAAGATACCAGAAGGTAGTGTTCCAAAAAACTCCATCTTTTAGCATACCTTAGTGACCGCGAGCAACCGCCTGAGGCGATCAAGTAGGCTGGAATATTCATCGCGTTGCTCGTCATCTAGCTGGTCACCGTCTACTTGACGGACTCGTTCCTGCAGTATCTGAAGACAATCTTCGTCGTTCTTCAGATCCTCTATTCCTTTCTCGTCAACATCAGAGCTGGCAATCATCAACAGCTGATCTTCAGCATCTTTGCGTGCAACATTGAATGCAGCTAACGCAGCAAGCTTATCTCCAACTGAATCACCAAGCCTTTTCAGTAGATCTTTCAGTCTCGACAGATCCCATGCGCTCCTCTGTCGCAGCTCTTCCGTCGCTTCGCCAACAGGGATCGTTTGTATGAGATTTTCAAGACGTTGCTTCTTTGTCTCGAGTTCCTCAAGCACTGATTGCTGATCGTTGAGATTGTGTGGTATCTCTTCAGGTTGTTGCTGTAGACTTTCGGAAATGAGAAGAATCTCAGGCGCAACTGACTTCAACTGCGCAATCTGTTCGATATCCTTCTTCTTCTCATCACATTCCTTCTTCAACTTCTGCACTTGTTCCGGTAGAGTCTTATCGAGATCATCGTGACTGACAACTGATGATGGGCTGGTAGCGAATTGCTGATACGCATCCGCGACACCACTCAGTTTCTGTAGTTCAGTATCAATTGATGCCATTTGTTGCTTAGCTGATTCCAAATTCTCAGGATCGACTCTTGTCAAAGCATCAGCAATACTTGATAGGCGATCCTTGAGTTCATCTTGTTGTTGACGTGCTTTCATTTCATCCGGTAGAGCTTTCCGCAAGGTTGCCAATTGACCCTGAAAGTATTCCACCCTAGATTCCCTGATCGTAAAAGAAAATTTCCCATAAAAGAAAAACACTACAAAGAAAGGACACAGATGTTAACGAAAATCACCTTCACTTGTTCTTTAATATTGTTCACATCTCGAGCCAATTGATTCCTCGGTGAAAGATCTTCTTGTGGAATTGAATCGACAGCGACAAGAATTGCTGACAGATCTTGCTCATCCTTAGTCACATCATCGATAGGAGCAGGTGTATCACGAATTCTCAGTTTACCACGGCATTCATCAACAACGTTTTGCAAGTCAACAGTTTTCTGTTCGAAATCCTCCATTTCATGCACTTGATCGTCTAATTTCTTGTTAATCATGTCGATTCGATTTGAAAGATCTTCTTTCTTTGGTAGCAAATCGACTGGAACATCAGATATTGCATCGAGTTTGGAGAGTAGCTTTGGTGTTCTAGCTTGTTGGAAATCAATTAAATCAGATGAAGACGGCAACGTTATTGGTAGGGCTTTCTCCAGCTCTTCCACTTCACGCTGAATTTGCTCCAATGACTCGATGGCGTTGTTGCGAGTATCACGATCAATTAGCATCTTCTGTAGCTCTTCTTCATCACGTTTCGATAAATCGTCAATGGTTTTTCTCAGATCCTCCACTCTGTTCCCAATATTCTCTTCAGCTAACAGATCTGGTGATACATTCGCTAAACTATCTCGAGCGTCTCGCATACGTCCCAAATTCGCTTCAAGTGTCTCAATATCACGTGTAGATGGAAGCGTTGCGATCGCATCTTCGATCATAGCCAAACGTTCTTGTGCTTGTCGTAGGTCATCGTCATGTTGTTTCTTCGACTTACGCATGTCGTCGATCTGCTTCTGAAGTGGTTCTGCGTTTTCACTTGGCAGAACATGGATTTCTTTCTCGATGTCATCCAACGACTTTTCAGATAAATCACGAAGAGGTATCGATTGTAATTCGAATATTCCGATTCGAAGTCGTTCGTTGAGGCGATCCTGTTCGTCCTTCTCTGTCGATGCTTTCGCATCGCGGAGTAACGCATCCAACGAACCCATACGATCGTTCAAAATCGACAAGCGCGACGAGTCTGGATCAACATGCTTACGACCGTGATTGGCTTCATCATGTTTCTGTTGTAGCATCGAAAGTTGTGCTCGTAATGCTGGAATTTGGAACTGTTCTATGTTCTCAATAGTCTCCTTTGTTGGTTGCTTAGCAAGCGATTCACAAATAGCGTTCATTTCAGTGATAAAATGATCGACTGAATCGCATAGCAGGCTTTCGTCTTCGATTTCACTCGACAACTCATTCAGCACATCATCGTATTGTTGCACTGTCTGTTCCGCGTCAACGTCGATGAAACGAACGTCAGCGTAGGCGCTGTCCAAAGGATCAAGCAGTTCCGAGAGTTCTTGAAGTCGACGAACTTTACCATCGAGTATATGAGATTTTTGACGTTCGGCAGATATTACATCAAAGTCAAGTTTGGCATCGTTGATTGTTCTACGTGGTTTCGCCAACACTTCATCAAGTGGTTGCCTCAATTTGTCCAATTCAACATCGGCTTCATCCCTCACCTTCACAAATTCATCCCAATTATTCGCACGTTCCTCTAGAACTGGAATCATGTTCTCAGCGGATGAAAGCGCAGTTTCAAGAGTTTCCACGGATGGATGAGTCTTAGGAGCGTTCCGTAGAAGTTCAACAGCTTTCTTGCATTCATTGCTCAGCTCTTCAGCACTTGGTCTATATTGTGCTGGTACTCCTTCGGCATCTCCTAACAAGCGATCAGCATCATTGACAAGTTGAGCAAGACGATTCGTCACCGGAGCGATTGCATCTCTTAGCGCTTCATCGGCCGTACGCTGGGCAATCTCTGCTTCTATATCGCTTCGACGTTGCTGAAATCACCACATATTCACGTCGTATACTTGAGGTTCTATTAGTTCAAGCTTCGAACACAATGAAATTTGGTGTAGGCCAATCCAAAGTTGCTCATTTCACACACACCGAGATTTTGCCAAAAATTTTAAATTATCAACTTCCAGAAATTTAGGGTAAAAAAAATGCAAAGGAGAAGCCATACTGCATAGCCCAAATTTGATATTTTTTTTGCCAGCCGAATTTTTGAGCAACATTGCAGTCGTGGCAGTATAGTGTTGCAGATAAATAATCTACGAATGCACCATGAGACGCTACACCTTGAGGAGTCGATCTGACATGCTTCTTACCGAATTTTGTGAGTCTCGCTAGACCCCAATGTGACCTTCGAGTGGCGCCTTTTGCAGGATGCCTGGAATTTTAGCGATAGATCTAGGTGTACATGGGAGGAGAGGGGGAAGGGATGGCGAAAAAGTCACCTTGCCCATGACACACATCAATATCGTCGCACAGGGTGCCGCCATTGATGAATACGCAAATTCCTTAATGTCCCGCCATGAGCAAAAGCAGGCCCACCTGTATTGCCCCCCCCCTCTCCCGCCGTCTTCGGAATATGACGTCGTCTGCCCTCCACGATGAGCATTAGGTCACCACCAATCTGAACCTGTTACGTATAACGAGATGCCACGACCAGCTTGCCAAGTCAACTGTAAGCCGTGCAGTATTACTGGAGCTCCTCATCGGGAAGAAGATGGGATTTCACCCAAATCATATTTGTGCTAACGCCATAAATAAGGCTGGCTAGAAAGACCATATTTTCGCCGAAAAGAAACATGTAACATCAAACGCCGAACAGGTTGTTCGGTTTTATTAGGTGAAGAGCCAAGAGTACAATCTGCACGACAAGCTGAAAGATTTACCGAGTATGACGACGTGCTCTAACACCACCGGCTTAAGTCTACGATGCAGAATCGTCGTTGCCGGCATATTTTTAGCTGTACAATGCTGTCATCGATGTCACCGACCCGACTGTGACTTGTTTTGAAGCTTCTCATGAAAATTCATTCGAATCAGTTTAACTCCGCACGCTACCGCTCACAGAGTTAAAGCAACAGTCCCAGCAGGGTGGGCGTGGTCGGAAACGACTGCAATCCCCTCGGCCGATTCCGACCACGCCCACTTCAGCTCCCTCCCTAGCGGCTTTCCAAGGTGAGTTTTTGTTCAGTCACACTTCTTACGTTCTTGACTAGGGGCTGAACAGCTCCGAAGTGGGAATCGGCCGAGGGGATTGCAGCCGTTTCCGACCACGCCCACCCTGCTGGGACTGTTGCTTTAACACGTTGACGACAACGCGCGTTTTGGGTTTTTGCGCCGCGTGGGACCACGGCGATTTTGCAGGCGCCGCCGCCTCACATAAAATCCGTGAATTTTGAGCTTTAAATACGCAAAACTCGGATGCAACAAAATGTTTCGAATGATATTCGATGTGTCAAACTTATCAGAAGGGACAACTGTAAAAAATCGATCGAATTGACGTTTTCTGGCGATGAAAGGCAAGTTTCAGTTGCTTTTGCTGCAGTGAACCTCAAAATTATTTTTGACGCGGTTGCTCCACTAAAAACATATGTCTTGCTATATGTGTGGGTCTGTACTTACTTCTACTGCTCTTTTTTATGACCAAGATTATCAGAATATAAAGGAAACTAGGAATGAACACAATTGGGAAATTCGTAGGGACTTAGAAAACCTTCGCTAAAAAGGAGCATATTCTACCATTCGATGAACCTCGCCGTGTCTACAATTCAGGTAGAGGAAGCCTTAGTGAGCCGGGAAAAGGTGGATCAGAGGTGGGTGGAGGAGTGGAGGCCAGCTGTCATCGGTGGGCGGGGCTTGACCAAAGTGGGCGGAGTTTGCGACGAAAATTCATAACTCGGCTCCAAGAAGTCCCGGAGGCCGGGAAAAAGGTGGATAGAGGTGGGTGGAGGAGTGGAGGCCAGCTGTCATCGGTGGGCGGGGCTTGACCAAAGTGGGCGGAGTTTGCGACGAAAATTCATAACTCGGCTCCAAGAAGTCCCGGAGGCCGGGAAAAAGGTGGATAGAGGTGGTGGAGGAGTGGAGGCCAAGCTGTCATCGGTGGGCGGAGCACGCACCTAAGTGGGCGGAGTTTGCCAAAAGTGTCGTAATTTGGTTCCAAGAGGTCCCAGAGACCGGGGAAAAAGGGGTAGAGGTCGGCGAAAGGAAGGGGGCCAAATGCTATTGGTGGGCGGGGCACGCACCGAAGTAGGCGGAGTTTGCCACGAGATTTATTGTCCGGAAGCAGTCCGGAGACCGGGAAAAAGAGGATGGTTGACGAAGAAAAAGAGGTTGAAAGCCGTCGATGATGGAGCGGATAGAATTTAGCTGAGAATTCAGATATTCGTGGTGTATCAAGCCAAATTTGAAAATTTTCGTCGCACCATCAAAATTCGCCGCAGATCTGTGTTGTGCGCGCAATGCGTGCGGCGCCAACTGGTTATAATATATGCCCCTGCCCTCGACTTCTATCCTCCATCTACGATCCTCTCCATAAGTTGTTGGAACCAAAGCCTCACTGCTGTTGAGATTCGTTCTATTAATTCGATGACAAATGCTCTCTAGCCCCCTTATCAGCTTTTGTCAGTCAATATCGCTTCCTGGCCCCCATCAAATATAGTAGCGGTCAAAAGTTTGGAAACTTTTTTTTTTTGATCTAGCGTAGCCAATAGACAATGAAATTGCCCCGAATTCACATATTATATACAGAATCAAGTGTAGATTACGATGGGTAACATGATTTTTTGAAAACTGAAATCGCATTTGAAAAATACGAATTTTTATAAGAAATGGCGCGTCAAAAGTTTGGAAACTTCCAATTCCAAAGCGAATTCGGCAAAATAGCTCTCGAATCCACATGATAAATTAGTTATTCGATGAGTAGCTTTGAATTTCTATGTCAGCGTCGTTTTTATTGACATGGAGTTGATTATAAAATAATTTTAGGACTTTTAAGTCGAACCTCACACACTGTGAACTAAATCACATTGTTTGGTGGGATTCTTAACTGGAATGTGGGTTGAGCGACATGCCAGTTCTTCCGTGGGATGTAGAACTCAATTAGACTTCAGATCTTGACTTGGTCGCTTCATAACAGCTTCTTTTTCTGGGTTTAGGAAGGCGGCAGTGAGGAGGTAGGCCTGCATCGGGTCATTTCCGCGATAGAAAACCCATCTTTTCCGGCTAGTTCTGACTATCGAAGGAAGCATTGTATTCTACAGACTATACTTGTACTTAGCCCAACCCACATTTCGCTGGATACCTAGAACTGGGGAATCGCCGAATGGTCGGACACATCTTCATCCATGACAATACTTCCACTATTTCTGACTGTTGGAATCTCATACTCAAAATGAGGTTCCCATTTGACAAAACACTTCACAGGGTCCACAACATTATTTCTAGGAAGATAGAAATCTCATTCGTCGCTGAGGACAAAGTTTCACCTCTCGCCTTCGGTCCATGTTAGCCGTTAGAGTGCGGAAGCCAGTTGGGCCATCCTGCTCTTGAAGCCCAACAATGGCTTCTTGTTGGGACATCATCCGTAATATTCACCAGGTCGCGGCCGATGGCGTGCACTTGGACTTTCATATGATTAGGAAAAGAAAAAGTTGTCTCTTAGTTGGGAATGTTGGGGGCACGGGACGTGCCAACCACCTTTCGAAGTATTTGAAGAGGACCAACTTTCTTGTGAAGATACTTTTTTGTGAATGATCATTCTTCTTATGCTTACTCGACTCCAATAACGCTAGAAACATCCGATAATATATTGCTTCCGTAGAGACTGAACTACTAAGAATCAGTTTCAATTTCGTATTCCGGATTGTAGGGTTTAAAAAAGGACCCCCATGGAAAAACTGCTTTCTTTGCATATGAATTCATTTTGAAATTACACATTGCTCAATGGTTTAACTAAAATTAACAGAAACAAGTAAACATTGAAGAGTAGGAATCATACTGATAAGGGAAACAAAAAGTTTCCAAACTTTTGACGCGCCATTACTTGAAAAAAATCTTATTTCTCAAATATGATTATAGGTTTTTGGAAATTGTTCTTCCCGTCGTATTCTGAACTCGATTTTGTATGGAATATCTAAATTTGGGACAATTTCGTTGTGTATCGGCCGCGCTAGATCAAAAATAAAAAAGTTTCCAAACTTTTGACCGCTACTGTACTTCCCGTCCTACTCTATATACATCACCTCTTAGAACCAATGTCCCGGGACTGCTGTTGGGAGGCGCGCTATGAATTTCGTGGAATTTACGTTCTAGCTCCTCTTATCAGCTCTTATTGTTTAAGTTCATCTTATCAGCTCTTATCAATCGTTATCACTTTTCCACCCCCACCAAGTATGTTATCGTCCTACCATCCTACATCACCCCAACTATATAATTCTCTAAGTATGCCTGTTTGCGCGTGCGCGTCCGCGTGTACCTCCGTCTGTATGTCGAAATTCACAGCGTGCTTCGCTTCAGGCATGGAGCATAAGTTTTGAGTATGATGTACAGGGTGGGAAAGCAACATGTTCGGTGGAATAAAGGAAGTGACAAGCTGATAAGGGGCGCTGAAACACAAATTTGACGAAATACTACGCGCGTCCCAGCAGCAGTGGGCGGGCTTTGATTCCAAGTGGTGATGTGCACGTTTGGATGGGAACGTGTTTGGTAGGGGATAAGAAGTGATAAGGGCCTATAAGAGGCGTGAAAACGCAAATTTCATAAAATTTGTAGCGCGTGTCCCAACACATTGAGGTCTAATAGTTGTTAGGATGTAAAACGTATCACCCAATACATTGAAGTGATTAGGCGTGTTGTGGGTTTTGACGTAGCGGCCGCGCACTTGAAAGGAGTTGCGCTGATAAGGTGCTTCCAGCATGCTTTGCTGATATCCAGCAGTGTTTTAGAAACAGCTTATTTACACGGCTTCTATCAAATGCGGCAACGGCCA